TTTGTCTCAAACAAACAAACAAAAACAGAACACAAAACCCACAAAATCAGAGGTGCAAGATTATTGATGTGAAAGGAGTGGCCTTTAAGAGGCCATTTATTTTGGTGAGGCAGCTGCCCAGGAAGAGAGAACCTAGGATGGGAGAGGGCATAGACTTTCGAGAATGAGGACACTTTGGAAGGAGACTCTTATTCTGGTGGGGCAGCTGCTCAGGAACAAAGGTCCCTGGGGAGGGGTGCAAGCCTGTGGGATGGGATGGAGGGCTTTCTGACCAATGGCCCTAACTGGGCTCTCCATTTGCCCTCCCCCAGCCTGTGGTGTGAACTGCCACAAGCAGTGCAAGGATCGCCTGTCAGTGGAGTGTCGGCGCAGGGCCCAGAGTGTGAGCCTGGAGGGGTCTGCACCCTCACCCTCACCCACACACAGCCACCATCACCGCGCCTTCAGCTTCTCCCTTCCCCGCCCTGGCAGGCGAGGCTCTAGGCCTCCAGGTAAGAGGGAGTCATCTGCACCCTGTGGAGGGAGGGATGCAGGGCTGTTGTGGCAGAATATTAACTGATGCAGGATGGAAGCCATTCCAAAGTGCATAATTCTCTTTTCGTGGTGGGACAATAAAGAAGGGACAGGTAAGGGTGCCAGAAAGTGGCCAGGGAGCGCTGGATCTTCCAGGCTGAGGTGAGAGACCCTAATTTTTTTTTTTTTTGAGATGGGGTTTCACCATGTTAATCAGGCTGGTCTCGAACTCCTGACCTCAGGTGATCCACCTCTCTCAGCCTCCCAAAGTGCTGGGATTACAGGTGTGAACCACTGCGCCCAGCCAAGACCCTAATTTATAAAGAGGTATAAAAGTGAAAGAGGCATCAAGATTCTAGTTACAGCCTTATTTTGTTGGTGTGATTAACGAAGGATTGGAGAGGGTGTTATGTGAGCCATTGGCTTGCCTTTCCCTTTTTCCGCTGCTCGGGAGGCTCTTCTGAGAAAAGATCCGGTGCCCTGATAATGCCCTGGAGGCTCTCTTGGGGTCTTTGGTGGTTTTAGGTCAGTTTGCTGAATGGCAATTGGCCAAATGACTATTTTGCTGAGAACACTCTGAACAACTTATGTTAAACTAGGGTCTAAGGTAGTTGACCACAACCCTTTGGGTTGGCATAAGTCCTCAAAAAACAGAGGCAGGCACAAGGCATACATCCTCAAAAATAGAAAAGATAAATCCATTTGCATTGAGCCTTCCAGAAGTGCTGGGGTCTAAAATGTAAAATACACACAAAATTGACATTTAAGCAAACAGTGCTGACAAATCTGTGGTTGTGAAAAAGCTGTGGCAAAACGAAAACATAGAAAAAAAGCCTCAAAAACTGGGCTGAGGCTGGGTGGGGTGGCTCATTCCTGTAATCCAGCACTTTGGGAGGCGGAGGTGAGTGGATCACCTGAGGTCAGGAGTTCGAGACCAGCCTGGCCAACATGGCAAAACCTTGTCTCTTCTAAAAATACAAAGGAGATCGCTTGAACCTAGGAGGTGGAGGTTGCAGTGAGCCGAGATCGCACCACTGCACTCCAGCCTGTGCGACAACAGCGAGACTCTATCTCAAAAAAAAAAAAAAATATTGGCCATTAGGTCATGCAGGGAATTGATTTTTGGTGGATGGGTCTGCTACTGGCATGATGTAGATGCCTCTGTGGAGAGGAAAAGGGTTGCTAAAGTCCCAGGGACCTGGGAGTGTATTCTGCAGCAATCCCCCTCCCAGCAGAGATCCGCGAGGAGGAAGTACAGACGGTGGAGGACGGGGTGTTTGACATCCACTTGTAATAGATGGTGAGTCCTCCCACAGCTGGCACCAGAGCTCCCCACTGAGGGCCAGAGTGGGGGTGGGGAGTATCAGGGAAATGGGCGCTCTATCCAAATGCCCCAAGCCAGGTGGGCTTCTACCTTGTTGTTGGAGGGGCATCTTCCTCACAACCTGTTTTTCTCTTCCCAGCTGTGATTGGATCAAGGACTCATTCCTGCCTGAGAGAAAAGACTTCAACCAGAGCAGGGAGCCTGGGGGTGTTGGGGCAGGAGGCTGGGGCTGGGGGTGGGATTTGAGGGTGGCATGCAGCTGAGGGCAGGGCCAGGGCTGGCGTCCCTAGGGTTGTACAGACTCATGTGAATATTTGTATTTTCCAGATGGAATAAAAAGGCCCATGTAATTAACCTCCACCATCAGTGCCTAGAATCCCGGGGTGGGAGTGGGGGGTGCTGTACTTTACAGGATGATAATCTTGGGAGCTAGAACTTTGTAATCAGAGAAACTTGGGAGGTCTAGAATCTCATGTGTCTGGAATCTTGGAGGAAAGAATCTTAGAAGCAGAAAACCTTGGAACAGAATCTTAGGGACGGTCTAGGATCTTGAGGAGGCCAGTTCTTGGACATCTAAAATTTGAAACTAGTAGGTCTTTGCACCTGAATTGCAGGGCCCAGTGGTCATGCATACCCAAAGCCTTCAGCCCACGGCCAAAATCCTCTTGCTGGAGAGGGGGCCTTTCAGCCCCTGCTTCGACACTTCCAGCAACAGGGCCCTCACTGCAGGAATCGTGGGCAGGAAAGGGGCAGTGCAGAGTTGCTGCCTGTGAGGGAATGGAGGGAGGGCCCTGGGCAGTCCAAGGGAGGGCCCTGGTGCTGCTGCCAGCCGGAAGGACAGTGACTTCCAGAGGAAATGCATATTGATCCTGCCCTCAGCCTCCGGTGGCGGCCTCTCCCAATCCAGCTCTTCCCTCCTAAGCCTGCAGCATGGAGGTTTTGCGGGGGTCACTGCTATCTGAAGAAGGCTAAGGCTACTTCTGAGTCTGGTCGGGCGGTTTACTAAAGGTTCTGAACCTGGGCCGGGGTGCCCCTGGGGTCAGGAGATTCCAGACAGCAGTCCTGACAATGTGAGCTACCTCCCCAGTCCCCCAAACTGGGAGGTGTCCTGCAGCAGCTGTGGGATTGTACTGGGGGTGGAGACTTGAGCACCTTTAACGCCAGAGCACAGTATCTTCGGGCCTGTCAGTGGCCTCAGTTCCCCCATGAATGCCCTGGCCCTCCAACCCCAGGGTTTCCCCACATCACACCCATCCCTGCTGTGAGGCCCCACTCCCCCCAGCCAATTCTTTATTTTGGGCCACTCCCTTCTTCCCAGTCATCTCTCTCCTGAAGGCCTAGCCCATGTTGGGCCCCCCAGCCCTGTCTCTGCATTGGGTGCCCCCCGCCCCTCCTTCTGTCCTCAGCCCCCTCCGCCCTTCCCCCTATTGAGGCTGTAATATCCGTTTCACGATTTGGGGGCTGAGTTGCTATAACAACAGACGGCGATTGTGTTGTGAAGAGCAGCTCGCTCCTGTGCCGCCTGCCTCCTGCACTGCCTCCATCCCTGCAGCCCAGCTGGCTCCTCTCCTCACCACCCTCCAGTCCCAGTCTGGCCTCTTGCTGTGTGTGTGTATGTGTGTGTGTGTGTGTTTGTATGTCCAGGTCTGCCCCAACTGGGATGTGATGTGTACCTGTCTTCTCATGGTTGCATGTGTCTGAATTTGGTGTCTAGGCTTCGAGTTGTGTGTGCCTGTGTGCATGTGTGTGCATGGACATGCATGCTCTATTTGCTGTGTTCCCCTCCCCCATGCGTCCCCACTGGCCTGTGCACACAGGAGAAGGGCATGTGCTTAGCACATCACTCAAGTGTCCACATTGAGTGGGTGCCTGTGTGTGGGGGGTGTGTCTTGAAGTGGCAGGTCCCAAATGCTTAGGCGGTCTGAACCTTGGACCTTGCAGAGAGATAGAGAGACGTCCCTGTAGGCAGGAGGGGCAGGGAGGTGCAGCAGCTGCCCAGTGACCTTTGCTGCCCTTGATGGGCAAAGCTGGGGGTGGGGACAGGAGACAAGTACTCAACCTTACCTCCCTACCTGCCCAGCCTCCTCTGTAAGGGTCTGAGTCTGTCTCTGTGAGCCATTGCACCTGTCTGTCTATGCCCTGATGCTTGGGTGGACAAGATGTGTGGTGTGTGTGTGTGTGTGTGTGTGTGTAGGCTGCAGGAAGAGGAACAGTAGAGGAGGGGCAGGAAAGTGGGCTGTGGGGTCAGAGAGGCCATTTCGCATCCATAGGCCCTGACTCAGCAGTTCCATTCTGTGGCTCCTTCAGTGGCCTTGGTGGGGATGCTCTGAGGGTCTCTTCAAGGTCAGAGTGGGCCCTAAGCCTGGGACTTGGCTCAGGGATCACCCTTCTCGACTCCTAGGAAACACTCCTTGCAGCCTGGGTCCCCCTCTTACCCCTTCACAGGCTGGGGAAGGAGGTTCCCTCTGCCAGGGGTTGGGGGGTGGTTGGTGTCCACATGAATCCACTCAGTAACTGACCACTCTTGGCAAATTGCCTGGGTAAGGGTGCAGGATGACTGTGGGGAGGTCCCCTGGGTGCACCTGTTCTGGGCATGCATTTGCCTGGGTAGGTGCCTGTGTGTACAAGTGTGTGTTCTCGGGCAGTATGTGCCTCCTGTGGGTGCATGACCATGGCGTGGCATTTCTGCAGGTATTCTTGTGTGTCTCTGGGAATGCCCAGTGTTCACAGATAGGTGTGCATGGCTGTGAACTCCCCGATGTGGATGCATTGGTGTTGAATGTGAGTGTTATTGCACATTGCTCTGGCCAAGGAAGTGCCAACTACCACCAGCTGTGCAGATCACAGACCCTGCAACAGAAATCAGGGTCCTGGAGCGAGCTGGCAGAATGGTCAGGCACGTGCGTGTGATACACACACACACACACACACACTCTCTCTCTCTCACTGCCTCATTCAGCAGCCCAGTGACCAACCTTGTACATACACTAGGTATCAGGTGCACCATTTATTAGCAGAGTGAGTGAAGGGTGTCCCCCCAGCCCCCCATACTCATACACATGCACAGTGATGCATGTGCACTTACAGGAAAGACCTGTGCTCCCCAGCACCACTCTAACTCTGAAACTCGGTGGCTGCTGCCAAGTGCCCTCAGTCACCAGGCATGTGCAGCCGCAACGCCGCCCCCACACCTACTCTTACCCCTGCCCAGGTCTGCTCCAGGCAGAACTGGGAGTTTGGCCTCAAACTCTGGGATTCCCATGAGGCAGGACTGGGAAAACCCAAGTTCCTAGGGCTACCCCCACCCCATCTCTGCCTTTCCTTCCCCCACCGCCTCAGTCTTTATCCCAGCAAAGCCCCTCCCTCTTAAGTTTTGGGGACTCCAAGCCAGGGGCCATCCGGACGGTGGGAGGCGGGGGCCAGGCTGCCGGCTGGAAAAAGCCCCCAGCAGCCGTGGACCCACCGGATTCCCCTTCTCTAGGCTCCTCGCAGCCCGGGCCCGCCCCTGGGCGTAGCCAGCAGAGGGCGCTGCGGCCCAGGCCCCGCACCAGCCTGGCTCCCGCGGCACCCCGAGTAGGGGTCTCCCCTTCGGCTCGTCCCAGCCCCTGCGCGCAGGAGACCCGCTGGCCGTGGGGGGAGGGTGCGCGATCCAAGGCCCCGACCCAATGGAGGAGGGGCGAGGGTGCCTGTGTTCCCAGAAAAGACACTGAGGCCGGGTTGGGGGTCCGCCTGGTTGAGGGCCCGGGCGCCCGAGAACCTCGAGAGGCTGGGAGGAGCGCGGGTGCCGCGGGCCCCGGACTCCTGGGTCCCGCGCAGGGGAGGGAGTGGGGCTGTGGAGCTGCCGGACTGGCGGCTTATGCGCCCTTGCATTGGCTGCGCTGCTCGTCCGTCAGCGCAGCGTGGCCCAATGCGCACGTCTCGGGGGCGGGCACTGGTGCTGATGCTGCCGTCAGTCGGTGTTGCAGGGATGCGGCGGCGGGAGCAGCCGCCCTGACTCGCGGAGCATCCTCCTCGGAGAGGCACCGCGGCGGGGCAGGCGGGCGGGGACGCGGCGGGGAGTGAGAGAAGCGCGAGGCGGCAGACACCGCTAACGCCGGCTCTGCCACCCGCCGGAGACGGGGCGGCCCTGTGGCTCTGCTACCCACCCTGCAGCCCCTGACGCCCCGAGAACCAGGTACAGGAGGGGGTGCTGCGGCGGAGACGGGTGGGGGGCGGGAGCCGATCGGGGGAGGGGAGCGGATCGGAGGGGGCGGGGGAGGCAGGACAGATGAATTGGGGGGCGGGGGCGCCGCGCTGAGAGGGCTGGCCGGGTGACAGCGAGGAGGGAAAGCCGCTGGGGGCTTGGGGGTCGGAGGCTCCCTGTGGAAGGGGCACTAGCCCTGAGCTGGGGAGAATGGAGAGGGGTAGGAGGGAGGGTCGTTGGGGGAAGGGATGGGGAGAGAAGGAGGGGCATCCAGAGGACTGTGAGGCGGTTCTAAAGGGGGGCCCCCAGTCTGTGCTAGCCCCAGAGGCTGGAAGCAGTGCCGGGCAAGAGGGGCTCTTGTGTTCTGGAGGGTCTGCAGGGTAGAAACCAGCGAGGAACTGGGCTTCGTGGGAGGAGAGGAGAGGGGGCTGGAGAGGAGAGAGGAGAGAAGTGGAGAGGGAAGGAGAGGGGCCAGGCCAAGGGCTTCGTTCTGGGGGGATCCACTGAGGACCAGGCTTTCCTGGGGGATGGGAGACAAGGGGAGAAGAGGTTATTGGGAGAGAGCAGAGGGGAATGAGCCAAGGTGCTCCAGGCAGAGATGGGTCTGTGCTGGTGGAGAGCTGAGAAAGATGGGGTCTGAGGGAGAGGAGCGGAAGCTTGCGGGGGAAGGCTGGGGGTGATGAGAGAGGGAGACTGGGAAATCAGTAGGAGGGGGCTTTTCTGGGGTGGGAATACCCTGGGGGCGGTGACAGGGTTCTGGTCAGAGAGTGCTGCAGGGGGAGAGGAAGCTGCAGGGCTCTGGGCTTTCTCCCCCACCCCTAAAGAGGAGGGGGTCATTTCTCATGTCCCAGCCTCCTCCCCCAGCTGAAGCAGCAGTCTTCCCTGGGGTTTTTGGGTTGGGGTATGAGCCCTTGAACCCTTGATGGGCGCTTGGGGGCACAATTGGCTTTAGGGTGCTGTTGTCTTCTTTACTCTTACCCCGCTCCTGGGTCTTGGGAGACAGCATTTGATGCCTCATTGAGCTAGCAAGGGCTGGGCTGGGAGGGGGCTTTTTCTTGGTGTCTGGAGGTGAAAGAGGAGGCTGCCCAGCTGGAATAATGAAATAGATTTTTAGGGGGTGGATCTTGGGTCCCCAGTCCCTTGGCTGCCCTGGGGCTTCCAGACACCCCCGTTTTTGAATGTATGGGGGTGGGCTTCTATCCTCTTCCATTCATTCTTATCCTTCCTTCTTGTCCACCTTCCCAGTGTCTGGGTGTTCGTTTTGGGGGAGGGTGGACATTAGGGTCTTACTTTCTCTGTCTTCTGCCAAAGCAGGAGAAAGAAAGAAGGGAAAAAGGAGAAGAGGAGGGAGGTTTGCGGTCCGCAAAGTGTGAGGCCTTCTATTTTATGAGTGCTTCAGCCCCTCAGTCCCTAGCTCCTCCTGCTTCCAGGGATGGCTCCAGGAATGCCGGCATCTGAGGTGTGGCTGGATCTTTCAGGAGACAGGGGAGAAGGGTTTGGCTGGGAGGACTCTTCATTCATGCTAGAGGAAGTGTTCTCAGACCCATCCTGCCCTCAGATCCACAGGGGTGGGCGAGATGGACCAACCAGCCATGGCTGCTGGGCAATTCTTTCCAAAAACCCGGGCCTCTCCTGGCGTCTTGGCCTGGGCTGAATCCATATGACAGTGGAGTTCTGAGAGGAGGGGCTGGGTGCTCCAGTGGCTGATGGGGACAGTTCTTTCCTTCCAGGCTCAGTCACTACCCAGGTCCAGCTGCTCCCTCCTGCCTGCCCTTGCCAGTGACACAGACACTCTGACACTGATACACATGCTCGGTGGCACCCACCCAGACACACACCTACACAGGCACACACACCTGCGTACACAATACACCTCCCGGCAGCATACCACCCACACTTCCCACCCAGAGAGGTTGCTACCTCGTGCTTGCCTCCTTGAGACTTCCCCCAGGAGCCTTGCTGTCATGTACACAACACACATACACAGCCCCTACGTGCATCCAAGGGTGAGGGCACTGCTGGCCCCCATCCAACCACTCACCTCCCAGGCTTACAGCCATCGCAGCCACACCTGTGCTTCTTCCACATACACCTTCAGTGCCTGCAACATGCTCTCTCCTCCTGGACACACCATCCGTCCTCCGTCTACACAGCACGTGTGCACATCCTCCCAGACACACCAGTCCCTACCCCCAGCAAGCTCATCCTGAAGTACCATGTGCATGTCTGTCAGGGTGCTGAGCACTTTGCCCCAGGCCTTTGTGTGTGTGCACACCAGCACACGTTTGCTAACACACTCTTTTTGCCCTGGTGCACCCCCAAACCTTTCTTCTATTTTCTCTCTCTCTTTTACTCTCTTATCTATGTACCTTCAGCCCAGGCCCTCCTATCCCTCCTGGCCACAACCACGACCATTCCCAGTGGAGTCCAGGCCCCAGCCACTGCTGGCTTCCTGGGGGGTCTTCCCATTTCTAAGTGGCGTCATCCCCCAGCATCAATCCTCAGGCACAGGGGCACCCACACCTGCCTGTGCGCTGGAGACACTCTCCTTTCATTCGAAGCTCCCAAGCCCAGCCCCCACAGAGATGCCCCGAGAGAGTGTGTCCTCACATGCCACCCACCCTGCTGCTCCATCTGTTAGTGCGGCTCCCCCGCTCCGCCCCTGCCACACTGACTGGCCTGTGGGCTCTCGGAGGCTCATTCAACAAATAGTCCGATGCACACCTTCAGGCGTGGGTGTGGCACCTTCTTATCTTTTACGAAGCTGCTTCCCCACTGCCGCCACCATTGTTTGGGATGGTGGGGTGAGGGTGAGGCTGTATGGACTCCGCTGTGCTCCTCAGTGAGCCTCAGTGTCCTCACCTGTAAAATGGGATCCTCATCCCTATCTAATGGGATGTTTTGAGGGCTCACTGCGAGGAGAGTGATGGGAATGATAGTAGTAACAAGCATATTTCTTATGGACCTACTGTGTGGTTGGCCTGTGTGAAGCACTTTGTCTGATGTGTTTGTCAGGCACAGAGAAGGCCCCAGTGGACGGTCGCTATTTTTATTGTCATTATCCTAACCTTCCCTTTACACGCGGGCGCGCGCGCGCACACACACACACACACACACACACACACACACGCACATACACCTGTCATGGATACCTTTAGGAACATTCCCAGGCACCTTGTGCTTACTCACAAGGCCGCCCCTGGAAGTCATCTGTCCCCTTTGCATCACTGGGGTGCACCCGCCCAGGCTGCTGTGCCCCAGATGTGTACAGCATAGGTATGCTTGGTGCTTACCGCTCCCACTGCCCCCCATGCTCCCACGCACCCGTCCTCTGGCCCCCACTCCAAGTCATTCCACTGCACCTCCGTCCCCAGCCCACCCGCTTCCCCAGCTCCACCAGCGGGCAGCAGCCTTGTCCTGTGCACCCTGAGCTACCAGCTCCTGGGCCCAGCCTGCTCCATGCCTCTCTCTGTGACACAGAGAGCTGCTTGGGGACCCACAGACATGCCCACTCATGCCCAGCCCACCCTGGCACTGGACTCTGACTTATCTTTAGACCTGTTTGTTCCTCCTCCTGCCCTCTGAGTCAAGACAAGGTGCCCGGTAGAGTGGAGGAGGACACCAGGGCTTGGGATTAGACAGAACCAAATCTGAATCACAGTGCCAGCATTTACAATTTGTGGGACCTTGGGTGGGTCCCTTCTCCCGTCTGAGTGTCTGTTTCCTCATCTGTAAAACGGGCAGTGATAATACTTATCTTACCCTGGTGAGGATCAAAGGAAACACTAGGTGCTTGTAGTGCTGCCAACTGTAAAAGGCTGAGACGAGAAGTTTTAAAAATAATTATTAATATGACACACTTTTTTCACACATTAGTCTATGCCAGGCACTGTACTAAGTGCTTTATGTATGTTAATTCTAATTTTGCAACACTATTATTATCTCTATTTTATACATAAAGAAACTGAAGCACAGAGAGGCTGAGTAACTTACCAAAGGTCACACAGCTAGATAGGGGTAGAGCTGGCATTTGAACCCAGGCTTTGGAGCCAGTGCTGCTAACCAGTGCACTGTCTTGTTTTTGCTGCTGCTGAGGTGGTGGCTGGGTGTGGACAGGCATGGTGTCTTCCCTTGTTTTTGCTGGATCATCAGGGCTGGAAGGAAGGGGCAGGGAGGACAGGGAGGTAGGAACTGTTTACCATCTGCCAATCCTGCCTGGGGTTTCAGAGGGGAGAGGGGACCCTCCAAAAAACATTCTGCATCTGAAAAGGACCTCAGGGGTCAAACAGTCTGCTGTCTCCTTCCATATGATCCAAAAGCCCCCCCATGCCGAGCATCTCTGAGCAGCAGTCATCCGGTCTCACCTCGAACACCTCCACAGACGGGGAACTCACCACCCCCTGAGGCAGCCTACTCCACTGTTGGATGCTTTAGATTGCCAGCAAGTTTCTCTTTAGCCTGAGCCAAAATCTCCCCCCTTTGCACGCACTTCTCCCACCTGTCCATGGGCTGCCTTCTGGGGCCACCAGAATGTGTGTAAACCCAGCTCTTCCTCCCTGGCGCCTGGAGGAGGCCCCTGCTGTCTCACTCCCAGCTGGCATGAGAGGATGCTGGCGTGAGGAGAGGAGAGCCAGAGGGAGGCTGGCATTCCCATGGCTGGAGGTGTGTGCATGGGCGTGTGTTTGTGTGTGTGGGTATTCACAGAGAGAGGGCTGTGTGGATATGGGAGAGGGCCCTGGCCAGAGGCTTTGCTCGTGTGGGCATGTACCACCTCACCCCAGAATTTGCATCCATTTGCATACTTGCCCCTGGTGGTGTGGGGCTGAGGCCTTTGGCCAGGCGGAAGGGCCCAGGTCTAGGTCAGCAAGTGCAATGGGAAGTGCCTGGAATGGAAGGCCAACGACCTTCGTTCTAGTCTTGCTTTTCTATGTAATCCCAGGCCAGTCGCTGTCCCTCCCTGAGAATCAGTTTCCACATCAGGAAAAAAGGAGAAGATGAACCCCATGAGCTCTGAGGTCTCTGTCTCCAGTCCCAGGAGTGGGCTTTAGAGTGGGACACCTGAGAGAGCCGTGTCCCTGTGAAGGCCAGAACAGAGGAAGGTGAGCTCTGAGCCGCAGACACAGGTGTAAAAGAAATGCCTTGGAGCCAGCACAGTCTCTACCTGCACTGTGGCCTCGGGCAAGTGAACTCATTGTTTTGAGCTCAGCTTCCTAGTCTGTAAGCCTGAGTGACAAAAATACCTCCTAGAAGCTGAAGGATTGATAAGACAGTGCACATGGGGTCCAGCCTGGTGTCTGATGCTGAGGGATCCCAAAGCTGACAGCCCAGAGGCTTCAGTGGCACTGGCCTAGCCATGGGAAGATGAGGAGGAGGCTCTGGCCTAGGAGGACCCAGGAAGAGTTATTGGGAGAGGGTAATGTTGGGGAGTAGAGGCAGAAGTCCTGAGGGCAGCTTAGCCACCCCTGGCCCCTCTCACTCCAGCTCTGGGCACCACTGGCCCAAGGCTGCTGAGTCTATCTGTGGGCGGGGGCAGCACTAGGGAGTTGACTGGGTGCGGAACCCCAGGATTACTCAGGAGGTCAGCTTCCCAGAGGTGCGGTGACTCTGGGCCAGCAGTGGCTGGCAGTATGCACTGCATTGATGTCAGTGAGCAGGCAGGTACCCCAGGGCCACTCTGGCAGTGTCCCTGCACTGGCAATGGGCAATGAAAGAAGAAAAGTGGGCCCGGGGGGCAGTACTTGGACGCTGTGGGTGCAGGGGACCTCCTCTGCACTGCATGAATCTGGGGAGGAGCTGTTGCCTTGTCCAACTCCAGGGGACACTGTTTACTTGATGTGGTTGTGTGAGGCAATGGCCCTGGCCTGTGGGGGAGAAGACCTCTGGAGAAAGGGTTGCTGCTGAGTTCCAGGAGCTGAGGAAGGATGATGGAGCATCCCAGGGCAGCAGGAGCCCCTGTGTTCTGGGAGAAGGTTGGGTTGGAGGCTGGGTCGGCAGCAGCTTGGGTCTGGGGTGGGGGAGGCACAGGGAGGGGAAAGGTGCGGGGGGGAAAAGCATGTTTCCTGGACACTGGGTGGGGAAATGGAAAGGACCCAGGTGTCTGCCGGCTCACTCCTCCTGGGGCCATCTCTGCATTGCAAACGCAAAGCCACCCCAAGGGTCTGTGGGTCCCTAGGGAGAGAAGACTCAGGGAATGCTGGGGCTTCCTTCTGGTCTGCCCTGAAGTTCCTGTGCTCCCAGCAGCCTGGCTGGCCTGTGCTGCAGAGCTGTGGGCTGCAAGGAGAATGAGTAATGAGCCTTGAGGGGCTGCAGGCCCAGACCCTACTTCTGACCCTCCCTGGAGGCACTGCATCAGCCCAGCCTCTGCCCCTGAACAGGCTCACAGAAGCCTGTCTGCACTGCACCCCCTCCCACTCTCCCTCTGTAGGGGCCGGTATAGCCTCCCCATCCTGGACTCTCACACATTTTGCTCCCCTGTTCCTCCACCCAGATAACATTCCCTTTGGCTCTCAGGACCCAGTTGTCTGCCTTCCAGCCTCTGGCAGCCTCCCCACCATCTTTCACTCTATCTGTCCTCCCCCACTTCCTGCATGGAGGGAGACCCTGCCCCTAGCCTTTCTCACAGAACCCGTCTGCCATCTCCCTAGAGGGTGGTGGATATGACCATGGCAGGGGACTGGGCTGGGGGTGGGGCAGGGGAAAGAATCCCTCCTGTTGTGAGCTTGGGGGTGAGTGGACAGCAGCACGAAATCCTATTCCCTCCGCCAGCGGAAATCGATAGCTAATTAATTCCCTCCCCAAAATAGTGTCCGGAGGTGGGGGTGGGTGCTGGGAGAGCAGCAGACAGAGGCTAGGCCAGGCCAGACTGAGATGGAGACCCTAGCAGGGAGGGAGGGAGAGAGGGAGGCTGGTCACTATTCTGGCCATAGAGCTGTGCCTTTGCTGAGGGTCTCTGGCTACCCTTCTGGAGAAGAGGGGGAGCTTAGACCTTTCCCTCCCCTGATGCCTGAGGGGCCCGCTCCTCTGCCCTGGGCTGGGGATGTGTGTGTGGTGGTGGGGGGGTGAGGGCGTCAATCAGGCTGGGAGCAGGTGCTGCATTTAATTTGATTGGCTAATTAGCCTGAACATGTTAATTATCTCCATTACCCAATGAGGAGAGGCAGTGGCAAAGTTATATATAACCCAACAGTGTTTGTAAGGAGTGGGGGCTGTTTGCCTGGATCTCCTCCCCACTGCTCTGGCAGGGGCAGTCCCTGGAGGGGCACTGGGGCAGGACATTCAGGTCCCCATTGGAGCCTTGATGGATTGGGAGGGCAGCAGTCTCAGGAGCAGAATGGCAGGACCCGAGGGCTGAGCTTTGCGGGCCTCTTGGAGATGACTCCCCCAGCGCTCCCGATGGCCTGCTGAAGCCTTTTCTGCCCCATCTTCCTCTGCACACGTGTCACTCTCCAGGCGCCCCCTCACTATGGTTTTTTAGGGGGTCCCTCGTTTCCTCCCACATAGCTCTTCAGCTCCTTGCTGCACCCTGGAACCTTCCCCTCCCGAAGCCAGCCCTCTCATTGTCTTGTGGCTTCTCACCTACACCTGTGGCTGTCCTGTGTTTATTTCCTCCCCACAGGCCAGGGCCATTGCCTCACACAACCACATCAAGGTCACATGGCAGGGCACCTGCCAACTGCCTGTGTGACCTTGGGCAAGTCCCCAGAGCTCTTTACCTGGGTTTCCCCAGTAGTTAATGAGAATAATGGGACTTCTCAGCTGGGCGAGGTGGCTCACGCCTGTAATCCTAGCACTTTGGAAGGCCGAGGTGGGTGGATCACCTGAGGTCAGGAGTTCAAGACCATCCTGGCCATCATGGAGAAATCCCATCTTTTTAAAAAATATATTAAAAAAAAAAAGAGAATAATGGGACTTCTCAGAGTGATTAAGTAAAATGACATTTGTAAAAATGCTCAGCACCAGGGCTCTGACAAATGCTGTTTGGATTTGGAATTTAATTTTCTCTGTCTTTTCTTTCATTTCTCCCCACTAGGCCACCTTTCTCCTCCATTACTCTTCCATCTCTGTCACTTTTCAGGCACTTCCTCTCCTTCCTCTTTCTCTCCTCCCCTGCTTCAGTCTTTCACTGTCTCTTCCTAAACATTAGTCCCAACCTGCTTCTCTCCCAGGCTTCTCCCCACCCCCTTCCCTCCCTCCCTCCCCAAAATAAAATCAATGCAATATTCAGGAGGGTTGTTGGATATAAATAATTACGACTTGGAGTTTAACGAGATGCAAATTCCCCTCCCCGGCGTGGGGTATAAATTGCTCTCTGACAGCCCGTTACAAGGGTAATCATTTCAGAAAGGCAATTTTATGCAAATGAGCCTGCCTGCCTCATGGTGGCTCCCTCAATCTTGGTGAGGGGGGCAGAGGGAACTGAGGGGTGAAGAGAGCCCAGGTAGTGGGGCCAGTCCTGAGGCTGAGGACTGGGAGCTGGAAGTTGAGGATGACAGACATTTAGCTTCAGAAAGGACCTGGGCTGGTGAGCATTGAGGCTGGGGTCTGGGAAAGGATGAGCGTGGTTTTGGGGGAACTAGAGACACAGAATTGGATGCCTGTGTCCCTGCTTGGATGGAGAGGGCTTGGGGTCTGGGTATCTGGGTCCTGGCTGGCTTCTCTCCCTTGACCCCTTCCCAGTCTGGTTGCCCTGTGATACCATTGACGAATTGGCATTTAATTAATCCCAATGAATTATTTAGCAACTTCATTATCCAGTATGAAGAGCTGATGAGAGGAACCGTGGCTGGTGGTGGGAGCCAGGCCTAGAGGTTGGGCGGTTTGGAGAAGGGGCTGGGGTCACCAGGCGGAGCAGAGTTCCTAGGCCTCGCCCAAAGAGCTGGCCTTGGTCCTGACACCCGGGTCCTTTGAGAGGGTGAGGCCGCAGGCGGCTGGGTTGGGCTGCTACCGGGCTCGAACATGTCACCTCTCTGCTGTCCACATCTCGAACCACTGCTGCCCCTACTGCGTGCCATCTCTCCCAAATGCTGGCCCCCGGACTCCGTGTCTTTTGCCTCGGGACCCTCTCCAGGTCAGGGCCTCTCTAAGTTCTGCAGGGAAGCAGTCGGGTGCCTGCTGGTATGATGGGGGAGCCCAGCACCGACGGCCCCTTGGAGCCCCTCATTAACCCCTTTCTCTCTGTTCTCCCGCAGGCATCCTTCCCCGCGCGTTCGTCGGAGCCCGCGGCGGGGGAGGGGCGCTGCCGCCGCCGCCCGAGGGAAGCCGGCGCCTGGGCCTCTGCGCGCCTCGCCCCGCAGCCGGGCTCATGGCACTGTGAGCCGGCGAGGTAGCCCCGCTGGTCGCGGGGAACGCCCGGCCCCCTCCCGCCCCATGCGCCCGCGGCTCTGAAGCCTGAGCGGGGGCCGGGGGCCGGGCGGGGCCGGGGCCGCCGGAGGTATGGCGCCCGGGAGCCGGTGGCGGCCGCCACCGCCGCCGCCACTGCTGCTGCTGCTGCTGGTGCTGGCGGCGCGCGCGGACAGCCTGGAGTTCGGCGGCGGCCCAGGGCAGTGGGCTCGCTACGCGCGCTGGGCGGGCGCGGCGAGCAGCGGCGAGCTCAGCTTCAGCCTGCGCACCAACGCCACGCGCGCGCTGCTGCTCTACCTGGACGACGGCGGCGACTGCGACTTCCTGGAGCTGCTGCTGGTGGACGGGCGCCTGCGGCTGCGCTTCACGCTCTCCTGCGCCGAGCCGGCCACGCTGCAGCTGGACACGCCGGTGGCCGATGACCGCTGGCACATGGTGCTGCTGACCCGCGACGCACGCCGGACGGCGCTGGCAGTGGACGGCGAGGCCCGCGCCGCCGAGGTGCGCTCCAAGCGGCGCGAGATGCAGGTGGCCAGCGACCTGTTCGTGGGCGGCATCCCGCCCGACGTGCGCCTCTCGGCGCTCACGCTGAGCACCGTCAAGTACGAGCCGCCCTTCCGCGGCCTCTTGGCCAACCTGAAGCTGGGCGAACGGCCCCCCGCGCTGCTGGGCAGCCAGGGCCTGCGCGGCGCCGCCGCCGACACGCTGTGCGCGCCGGCGCGCAACCCCTGCGCCAACGGCGGCCTCTGCACCGTGTTGGCCCCAGGCGAGGTGGGCTGCGACTGCAGCCACACGGGCTTCGGCGGCAAGTTCTGCAGCGAAGGTGAGCCTCAGGGAGCGGCCGCCGGCGCCCGGGCGCGGGGGTGACGTCCTGGGGCGCCCCTTGGGGGTCAGGGCTTGCGGGGGTGCCTGAGGCTGGGGGGCTAGGCGCGAGGACTTGTGAGTGGGTGCGAGCGCGCCAGGGCGGCGGGGACGCGTGTCCGGGCGAGGGCGCGTGGGCTTGGCGGTGGGCGGGGCGAGCGGGCGTGGCTGGCGCGGGCGTGGTTAGCGTGAGTCCTGAGGCGACCTGTGGGCAGCCTGTGTGGTCAGGTTCTGAAGGGGCTGCTGAGAATGGGGCGCATGAAGCCCTGTGGGCCTGGTGGGTGAGGGGCTGTGAGGCGCTGGTGAAGGTTTGTGGGTGAGGTCTGCGTGGACGGGGCCCATTAGAGGCAGTGGGCGGGGACCACGAGGCCCCTGAAGGACAGTGGGTGGGGCTATGAGACAGGGGGCGGGACCTCGTATGAGGCCGTGAGGGGCTGTGAGTGGGGCCAGCGGGGAAAGGCCAGTGTGGGCGGGGCCTACGAGACAGGAGGCGGGGCCCCGCGTGAGACCGTGAGTGGCTGAGTAGCGCCTGTGTGGAACGCCAGTGTGGGCGGGGCCTACGAGACGGGGGCTCGAGCCCGTGTGAGACCGTCAGGGGCCGTGTGGCGCCTGTGTGAAAGGCCGGTGTGGTCAGGGCCTACAAGACAGGGGGCAGGGCCCCGCGTGAGACCGTGAGAGGCTGTGAGTGGGGCCTGTGTGGAAGGCCGGTGTGGGCGGGGCCTACGAGACAGGGGGCGGGACCGTGTGGCGGGGCCTTCGGAGAGGGGGCGTAGTCGGCAGTGGGCGGCGGTCTGTGAAGGTCCGCCAGCGAAGGGCGGGAAATGCGGCCTGGACAAGCGCAGAGGGATGAGGGCCTAGGTGTGAGGACGCTGAGCGTGAGGAGAAGGGCCCATGGTGATTCCGGGGCAGGCGAGGGAGAATGGGGATTGAGAGGCTGTGGGCAGGAAGCGAGTGCTTCTTCTTCACCACAGAATCCTCAGAGCGTCTCCGAGAGTAACGGGAAAACGAGGGCGAGGGTGGCTGAGGCTTCTCAGGTTCCTGACGAGGAGTGGACAGTTTGCGTGAGGGGCGGAGATGGCGGATAAGTGTCTCCCGATGACAGACCGGGCATGGAGCCCCTGAGATTGGTGGGAGATTGGTGGGCTGGACAGGGCGGGGTGGGACCCGGGCTGTGGGGCTGAATATGGAAAGGCGCTTGGCAGGGAGGCTCGCCGGAGGGAGGGGTCCGGCCAGCACCCCCGGTGCCTGAGGCCGAGAGTCTGGCCAAGAGGGTGAAGTGGTGAAGTGCGGGCGGGGCCTGGGCTGAGCGGCCGGGGCGGGCTGTGGTGTCAGGGGCTGAGGGAAGGAGGGACTTGGAGGAGCCTCTTCCACTAGGGTCTGGTTGGGCGGTGGGGAGGGGGGTCCCCCAGCGCGTCTCTTCGCCCCGCTTCCCTGTTTTTCCAGCCCTTGTGTGCCTCAGGCCTCTAGAAGCTGTGGGCCACTCCCCTAGTCCCTCTAGGCCACTCAGCGGTTGTGTGTGTGTGTGTCTGTCCTCCCAGAGGCAGAGGCTTTTGAGGGAGTGTGTGCATGTGCACGTGTGCGCCTGCGAAACGAACGTGGCCCGAGACTGCTTTGGGGATAGGTGTCCTGTGGCTGGTGCCTGTGGACAGCCGTGGGAGGGGCCCACCCTGCAGGTGAGGCCCTGGGTGTGGGAAGCCTGCACTTTGGAGAGTCGTTTGCCCGCGGATCTGTAGTTGTGATCGACAAATACATCCGAAAGGTCTGGGGATTGTTTTCATGGGGTAATTGGTACAAGGTTGTGGGATATGTCATCAGGAACTGTGCGTATTAAGTTAAACTGACACCTTCTCACCCTTTCTCCAAGGAGTTCAGGTGTTTCCTAAACTGTGAAATTCTGTGTCTGTATGTTTGCCTGTGTGTAGAGGCCGGCAGTCTGGCATTGTGTATTTGCTGTGTGAATGGGTCTGTTTGAATAGCAGTGTTTGCAGACAGGAGCCTAGTGCCTAGTAGAGTCAGTAGTTCCCAGGCATGAGGGTGTCTGCTCATGTGCCTGTGTTTTAACGTGAGGCCTCAGTAAGACAACTGGAATGTATGAGGACTTTTTCTTTCCAGAACCTTAATTTGATCTGCTGGTTCCTCTGTCCTTCTCCCAAAACCTGCCTACGAGAACAGGATGAACCATCCCTCTAATTTGATGGAGGGAGAGTTCGAGCTTCGGGCGGTTAGGGTAACTGGTCCCTGGTCTCACTGTGGCTGAATTGGGCTTGGGTGTATGAAAAATGCAGCCAGAGGCACCTTGGTCAACCAGAGCCCTTGTATCCATTCTCTGAGAGGATTCACTGGCCAGAGGCTTCCAGGGAGCCAAACAAGATGCATGCTTCTGAATACGGGTTGTGTGGTTGTGTGTTTAAGGTGTGTTTGGGTAACTGTGTAAGAGGGATGGATGTGTGTATAATATGGCTTGGTGAATGTTTGTGTCAGCTGTGGTGAAGCTGTGAGAGATGGTCGAATATGTGTATCTGATGCATTTTATGTGCGCTTGCGCGTACACGTGTGTATGAGAGTCATGTAAGAAAAGGGACCGTGAGCCAGGCGGAGTGGCTCACACCTGTAATCCCAGCACTTTGGGAGGCTGAAGCAGGCAGATCACTTGAGGTTAGGAGTTTGAGACCAGCCTGGCCAACATGGTGAAACCCTGTCTCTACTAAAAATACAAAAACCAGCCGGGCATGTTGGCACATGCCTGTAACTCCTGCTACTTGGGAAGCTGAGGCAGGAGAATCACTGGAACCTGGGAGGTGGAGGTTGTAGTGAGCTGAGATGGTGCCACTGCATTCCAGCCTGGGCAACAGAACAAGACTCCATCTCAAAAAAAAATAAAAAAAAAAAGAAAAGAAAAGGAAAGGGTGCCAGCTGGTAGGGGCAGGCTTGCCTGTGTATATGTGGTGTGTGTGTGACATGTGTGTGGTATCTGTTGAGAGAGCAGTGCTTTGTGGTAAAATGGGAGGGTTGTGTCTTTATGCATTTCTGTATTCCCAGCACCTAAGCACTTAGTGAGTGTTTGATAAAGATTTGTGGAATGAATGGAGAGATATTAATAAGTAATTGAGAGAATAAAGGCTTGGGGCAAAGCTGTATGTACATATGAAAACATGTATGTGGGCCAGGCGCGGTGGCTCACGCCTGTAATCCCAGCACTGTGGGAGGCCGAGGCGGGTGGATCACGAGGTCAAGAGATCGAGACCATCCTGGTCAACATGGTGAAACCCCGTCTCTACTAAAAATACAAAAAATTAGCTGGGCATGGTGGCGCGTGCCTGTAATCCCAGCGACTCAGGAGGCTGGGGCAGGAGAATTGCCTGAACCCGGGAGGCGGAGGTTGTGGTGAGCCGAGATCGCGCCCTTGCACTCCAGCCTGGGTAACAAGAGCGAAACTCCGTCTCAAAAAAAAAAAAAAAAAAAAAGAAAACATCTATGTGTATATTTTCAGATATATGTTGTCGGTGGGCATGGGGGTTGTAAGCACTGATTGCATCTGGAGATGACAGGCACAGCAACAACCCTACTGCTTCCCTTCTTTTCTCTCCCCACTCTGCAACCTCATTTCTTTTTCTATTTGTTCTTTATTTCCTAGGTAGCTTTTATAATATCCTGTGCTCATTATACATCGAGTACGTTCTCTTCCAGTCAAGGAGGAAAGGCATGGGCTCCCATTGTTGGGTATTGGGATGGGGAAGGAAGACTTTAAGGGGAACAGGCCTGGCTCTTGATCTCTGAGACTGCTCTAGGGGTCAGAATCCTCAGGCTTCCCTGGAGTTACAATCACTCATCATCTGCTGTGAGTGGTTTCCAACTCTTTCTGAGATTGAGGACATTTTTAAAAGTCAGTAATTCACAGTACCCCTTCTAAAGTAGTTATTTTTGTATCTGTTTAGTGTGAGTATAAATGACTCAAAGCTACTGTGAATTTGGAAAAACCTTTAGATGCCTTTGATGTTATATTTGCCATTGTGGTTAATAAAATATACATTAGAAAAATGGTTTTAGCTTTATATGCAAGATGTTTCAATCTGCCTTCATATGTTTGGTGTGCATACGGTTTTGTGCATCCTTTGGAATCCCTCCTGCTTTCCCAGAGTCTGGGCTTACCCATTGATGGAGAACCTCCATACTAGGAAATTTGCTTTTTTCCCCTCTCTCTCTCAGGGATCTGGCCACGCATAATTGAAGACAGAGCTCAGCAGGGGTGGCCGAGTCTGTCTCCTGTTGCTGATTGTCTGCCAAAGCTGGGATAGAGTAGACTGGGATCTTGCCATGATTTGCATGTCAGTGCTTCCTCATGTCACCTGTGTGTGTGAAGCAGGGGCTGAAAAGTGATCAAAGAGGAAGGGATGTGCAGGCATGTGTGTGAGACCTCAGGTGGAGTGATAGTGAGGTGTTTAGGACAGAGTGTCAGGCGTATACTATTTGCTCAGGAGGAAAATAGGAAGCTGGTCGTAATGTGTGTGCTTGCAGAGAGGTAGACACATGTGTCTCATGTGTGTTTTGTGTTTGTTGGTGATTTAATTCCACAGGTAGTTATCAAGGCCTCCTTTGTGATAGGCTGTGTGTTGCGGGCTGCAGTGGAGTCAGAGATGAACAAGATGGACTCTGTGCTCTGGGAGTTGACTGTTAAATTTAGGAAGCAGATAAAAAAGCTGTCCAGTGTGTTGTTAAGAGACTCTGCAGCTGGGCACGGTGGCTCACACCTGTAATCCCAGCACTTTGAGAGGCCGAAGCGGGTGGATCACCTGAGGTCAAGAGTTCTAGACCAGCCTGACCAATATGATGAAACCCAGTCTCTACTTAAAATACAAAAATTAGCCAGGTGTGGTGGTGTGTGGCTGTAATCCCAGCTACTTGGGAGGCTGAGAAAGGAGAATCGCTTGAACTTGGGAGGCAGAGGTTGTAGTGAGCTGAGAT